CAGATGTAGGTTTGCACAGCGCTGTGCCTGCAGACCACACACCACATTTCACAAACACAGCTATCTTAATGAGGGCTGGTGCCGCAGCCACGACTATGGTGCAAGTCTGAGTCACTTCAGCTACACTCAGCAGGCGCGGTGGCTCACACCTGTAATCCCAGAGTTTTGGGAGGCCGAGGCGGGTGGATCACGAGGTCAGGAGTTCTAGACCAGCCTGACCAACATGGAGAAACCCCGTCTCTACTAAAAATACACAAATTAGCCAGGCGTGGTGACCAACGCCTGTAATCCCAGCTACTCTGGAGGCTGAGGCAGGAGAATTGCGTGAACCTGGCAGGCGGAGGTTGCAATGAGCAGAGATCATGCCACTGCACTCCAGCCTGGGCAACTGGAGTGAAACTCTGTCTCAAAAAAAAAAAATCACGGTGCATTTATTTCCCCATCACTGGCTACAGAAAGCCTAGCAATACTCCCAAAAGTCAGGAACCAGCAGCGAGGCTGGGCTACTTCCTCCTCTCTCTAAGCCTCCTCTGATGTTAGGGACAATCAGCCAGCGTAAAGAGCTTGGTTTCTGATCCTCAGGAAATGCCAAGGAGGGCGCTGGACTAAGCCACAGGATGGCTTTTGAGAGGGCAGCGCCTCTGCTCAGGGTTGTAGAATGGGGAGAGGAAGAACTTTCACTTTCGTGTGTCAAAGAAAATAAAGTAAAAAGGTTTGAAGATATATCTCAGTGACTTTTTTTTTTGTGACGGAGTTTTGCTCTGTCGTCGAGGCTGGAGTGCAGTGGTGCGGTCCTGGCTCACTGCAACCTCCACCTCCTGGGTTCAAGCAATTCTCCTGCCTCAGCCTCCTGAGTAGCTGGGATTATGGGCACACACCACCATGCCCGGCTAATTTTTGTATTTTTGATAGAGACAAGGTTTTACTGTGTTGGCCAGGTTGGTCTCAAACTCCTGACCTCAAGTGATCCGCCTGTTTTGGTCTCACAAAGCGCTGGGATTACAGGCGTGAGCCACCAGGTCCGGCCCATCTCAGTGACTTTTGATATATGTATCCACCTGGGTAATTACCACCCAGGACAAGATGTAAACTATTTCCAGGGGCTTCTCTTATCCTCACTGGTATGGGTACACTGTTGTGGGTCCTGTGGGCCTCAGAACCAGGCCACAGTGAGTGTATCCCAGCCCCCAGCCCTGTACGCAGGCCATCTCCTGTCCTCTACCCTCTGCAGGCAGGGGACACCAAGTCCATCTTACAGGCAAAGAAATGGAAGCTCAGAGAGAAATGACACCACCATCACCATGACCCCAAAAACCACAACAGCAGCTTCCCTTGGCCAAGGGCAGATTCCTGGAACGTCTTGGCCAAATATCAGAGATTGTGCCCTCCTTGGCAGGCCCTGGCTTAGCAGGTTCATTTCAGTAGACAGTAAGGAAAAGATTCTTACCTTGAGGTCACACCCATCAGTCATAGTTCCCCTACAGAAAAATTGCCTTTTTTCATTTTTTGAGATGGGACAGAGTTTCGCTCTTGTTGCACAGGCTGGAGTGCAATGGGGTGATCTCAGCTCACCGCAACCTCCGCCTGCCAGGTTCATGCGATTCTCCTGCCTCTGCCTCCTGAGTAGCTGGGATTACAGGTATGCGCCACCATGCCCGGGTAATTTTGTATTTTTAGTAGAGACATGGTTTCTCCATGTTGATCAGGCTGGTCTTAAACTCCCAACCTCAAGTGATCCACCTGCCTCAGCCTCCCAAAGTGATGGGATTACAAGCATAAACCACAGTGCCTGGCCAAGTCTCTCTGATTTTCGGCTCAAGGGAGCAAGAGCTGATCATCTGCTCTTTGCCCCACGCTGGTTTTCCCAGCCTCTGCTTTCTATCTTGTTATTTCAGAAGACCAAAGCCAGGCTCCCTAGTCCAAAGGGCCCCTCTTGGCTGTGTCTGGCCCATGATTCTGGGGGTGGTGCAGCCACCAGGCCCCAACCTCATAACTGAGCTTTTTGACAGGGAAGGTAGCTACCTGCCGGGCTTTTGGGCTGGGGGCAGGAGAGGCAGATGTCTTCTCTTCTCCGACAGAAACGAACTTGCACAGCTCCTCTGACATACAACAGAGATAAAACGTGTCTCAGGACATCTCGGACGTTCCATGTCCTGTCCCTGATGGTGTGGTGACCTATCATTTATCTCGCGGGGTTGGGACAGCCTGGCCTGGCAGTTCCCCACGCTTCAGAACCATGGGAGCCAGTTTATCAAGCACATCTTTTGTTCAGATAAAGGACTGCTTGGCACACAGCAAATGGGCAAGGAGCCACCCCCACCTTGCTCCCACCGCCTCCCCCAGCAGCAAGGGCAGGGTTTTCCATGAGTCTTTCTTGTTAGGGAGGGATCATTATTCGCTTTAAGCAGGAGGAACCTGAAGCTCAGAGGCTGATACTGAACGGAGGGCTACCTGTGTGCCAGGGGCTTAATGATTATGACTGTTAGACGAGACTCCTTTTAGCTCCCACAACTGCAGTGGGGAGTCACTCAGGGTCAGCTACATTTGACAGCTAAGGAAACCAGTTCAGAGGGGGAAATTGTCTGCCCAAGGCCACAGAGCCGCAGCTGAAGGCTGGCTTTGGGATTTGAAGCCGGCTAAATCTGGCTCTGGTTAATCTTCCCTTTGATCTCTGGGGCTTTGGGGCATAGGTTGGACTGACACAGTTGTCCCTCTGAGCAGGTGCGGTCCCAAAGCACCTGGTCAAGCCCAAGAGTGCAGCAGGCACGGGAGGCTGGCTTTTTCTTTCCCTTTGCCCTGCTTCCCCAGTGTACCTCTCAGCAAAGCCGAAGTGTCGGCAAAAACAAATGAGCAAGAACCGTGTACAAGATCCCTGCCCTTGTAGAGTCCTGCTCAGAACCTGGGGAAGGGGGCATGATGCAGCAAGGTGAGGATTTTGTTGAGACAGAGTCTTGCTCTGTCACCCGGGCTGGAGTACAGTGGCATAATCTTGGCTCGCTACAACCTCCACCTCCTAGGTTGAAGCGATTCTCCTGCCTCAGCCTCTTGAGTAGCTGGGATTACAGGTGTCTGCCACCACGTCTGCCTAATTTTTGCATTTTTAGTAGAGAGGGGGTTTCTCCGTGTTGGCCAGGCTGGTCTGAAACTTCTGACCTCAGGTGATCGACCCCCCTTGGCCTCTCAAAGTGCTGGGATTACAGGTGTGAGCCAACGTGCCTGGCCGCTGTGAGGATTTTGAGGTGAGGGATTTAAAAAATCTTAGGACACAAACCATTGATGCTGCTTTCTGTTTTGAGACAGGGTCTTGCTCTGTCACCCAGGCTAGCGTGCAGTGGGGAGATCATGGCTCACTGCAGCCTCAGCCTTCCGGGTTCAGGTGATTCTCTCATTTCAGCCTCCTGAGTAGCTGGGACTACAGGCCAGCACCACCATGCCCAGCTAATTTTTAAGTTTTTTTGTAGCGATGGAGTCTCCCTATGCTGCCCAGGCTGGTCTCGAGCTCCTGAGTACAAGCAATCTGCCCATCTTGGCCTCCCAAAATGCTAGGATGACAGGTGTGAGCCACCACACCCGACCCATTGAGGCTTTCTACTGAAGAGTCGAGGGGTCTTTCAGGTAGATCTCGTGACGAAGAATCAAACGGTTTGCCTGGGGAAAGAGTTCCAGAAAAGTCAAGTGATGGTCAGGAAGTCAGTGGAGCCACGTGCTGGTTCCCCCTCCCTGCTATAGCAAATAACCACAGACTTAATGGCTGAAAACAACACAGCTTCATTCTCTGTGTTGGTCTGTCATCCAGGCGCGAGTGCAGTGGGGAAGTCTGCTCTGGCAGGTGAAGCCTGAAGTGGACCTCACAGAGTTAAAATCAAAGTGTGTGCAGGGCTACGTTCTGTCTGGAGGCTTGGGGAGAGTTCATTTCGTCCCCTTTTCCAGTTTTTTTTTTTGAGACGGAGTCTCACTCTGTCGCCAGGCTGCAGTGCAGTGGCGTAATCTCAGCTCACTGCAACCTCTGCCTCCCAGGTTCAAGCGATTCTCTTGCCTCATCCTCCTGAGTAGCTGGGACTACAGGTGCCTGCCACCATACTTGGCTAATTTTTGTATTTTTAGTAGAGATGGGGTTTCATCATGTTGGCCAGGATGGTCTTGATCTCTTGACCTCATGATCCACCCACCTGGACCCTCAAAGTGCTTGGATTACAGGCGTGGGTCACCGAGCCCTGCCCCCTTTTCCAGTTTCTAGAGGCCACTGGTATTTCTTGGGCCATGATGTCCTTCATTTTCAAGGTCTGCAGGGTAGTGTCTCTCCTGTCTGACTCCTGCACTGTCTTTTCATCTCCTCTCTTAATTCTGCGTCTGTTTTTATATATTTTCTCTAATTCTACTGCCTCCCTCTTGGAAGGGCCCCTCTGATTATACTGGGCTCACCCAGATAAAGTAGGATCATCTCTCCCATCTCAAGATCCTTACTAAATCCCATCTGAAAAGTCCCTTTTGCCACAGAAAGTCACAGTCGCGGGTTCTAGGGATTGGGACGTGGATGTTGATGGGGATGGAGGGAGTTCTTCAGCCTGCCACAGATGGCAAAATCACGTCCTTGCAGATGTTGCTGCAGCTCCAGTGTCCAGGCTGAGTGAGGGGCGTGTGGCGTGGTTCTCATGCCCACCACCTACCCTAACCCTGCTGGAGGTGAGCAGGAAGCAGCGATACTCACCATGTGCGGAGGTCCCGCCAGGTGCCCGGCCTTGTCACTCCCCTAGAAGACAGGCACCACCACATGCTCCCATACTACAGATAAGGAAGCAGCTTTGAAACAGATCTGAAAGTGATGATTTGCCAGGGAGGAGGGGTCCAGAGCCAGGGGCTGGGTCTGGGACACACCAGGGCTCTCTGCTTCTTGGAGCTCCAGGGACTGCTTTTGTTTCTTTTCACAGAAGAGGGCCCTGCTGTGGCTGGCCGTCGTGGGGCGGGGCGTTAGCCGTGCTGGCTGCAAAAGGCTCTCCGCCCACTTTGCTTTTCCCGAAGGCTGCTCCTCCGTCGTCGAGCTGATCACACCCACAGTTGAGCTGCGCTGGCCAGAGATGCCTGCCCACAGCCTGGCAATGAGCAGCCCGACCCTCCCGGCCTTCCTGCTTTGCAGCACACTGCTGGTCATCAAGATGTATGTGGTGGCCATCATCACAGGCCAAGTGAGGCTGCGGAAGAAGGTACGTGCCGCCCTGGGGGCCCCGGCCCTGGTCGTCCTTGCTTTCCTCGATGCCCTGCCAGGAAACCCCTGGGATTGGAATCATGGCCAAGGTGTGTGCAGGGCTTGGAGCTGGGCCCATCTTCTAGCCCCCTGGGTGCCTCCCTGCCAGCCCCGTGGGTCAGCAAGTCCTGCACCTTCTCTCTGGCTCAAGAGCACGTACTTACTTGCCGGGCCACCAGGCTGAGTTCTTGGCACGGGGAGAGCCGGCGAGTGTCTCTGAGAGAAGCAGGTCCTGGAGGGTGGAGTGTGGGAGCATGACAGCACAAAGCCTGGTGGCTTCCCGGCACGGGAGATCTGATATCTGGGTGGAGTGGGAACCGGCAAAACCGGAGTCCAAGCAACATTTAAGTGGAAATTCCCAACTCCCGGCAGATGTCACTGACAAGCCCACTGCAGCCTCCCAAGGCCAGCTCTCAGCCGGGCACCGTCGGGGTGTTCAGGGAGGAATTTCCCCACTAATCCGAGCCCCTGAACCAAAACAACAATAAGGAGTCCCAGAGCTGGACCCGGCCCCTTCTTTAAAAAAAAAAGTTCCAGCGACGTCTGCCGCACTGGATGGTGAGTCTGAAAAGTCATAGGCTGAGCTCTTTGGCTGTCCTGGTGGCAGAACGCAGAAAGGGCCCGGGCACCTGTTGCTTCCTCCTGGGTATTTTAATAGAGCAATGATTTCCTGGAACTGCCTCTGGCTTCCGCTGCGTCCAGTTCAAAGGCAAGAGGAGGCTGGCTCTGGCACCCCATGCGGGTGGATCCTGGGGAGTGAGGATCTTGGCTGAGAGCCAGGCTCAGGCCCTGCTGCAGGTACAGGCAGGATTAAAGGCAGGGCAGCTGCCCAAGTGATAGGACGCCCGGAGGCCACGGCACTGATGGCTTCTGAATTCTCCCTGCCTTGGCTGGTCCTGGGATGTGGGATCTGGGCATCAAGCAGAACAGCTGCATTCACTCACTGAATCCTTCCTAGAGGATGAATGTGGCCGGAGCTGAGCACGAGATCCTCACCACAGCCCTGGGGAGCAGGGGAGGCACCACGGTCATCTTGTCTTCTAGGTGAGGAACCTGGGCTCAGAGAGGAGACATCGCTTGTGAAGGTCACACAGCTGAGTTTGAACTCTAGTGTCCAGCTTTGGAGCCCACATCCTGTCTTGGAGGCTGGGGTTCCTTTTTTTTTGTTTGTTTTTTTTTGAGACAGAGTCACTCTGTTATCCAGGCTGGAGTGCCGTAGTGGGATCTTGGCTCACTGCAACCTCCGCCTCCCAGGTGTAAGTAATTCTCCTGCCTCAGCCTCTCAAGTAGCTGGGATTACAGGTGTGCACCACCACGCCCAGCTAAGTTTTGTATTTTTAGTAAGAGACAGGGTTTCACCATATTGGCCAGGCTGGTCTCAAACTCCTGACCTTGTGATACGCCCACCTTGGCCTCCCAAAGTGCTGGGATTACAGGCTTGAGTCACTGTGCCAGGCCCCTTTAAAAAAAAATACATATATATATATGTGTGTGTGTGTGTATATATATATATATGTATATGTGTGTGTATATATATATGTATGTGTGTGTATATGTGTATATATGTGTGTGTATATATGTGTGTGTGTGTATATATATGTATGTGTGTGTATATATGTGTGTGTATATGTGTGTATACATATGTGTGTGTATATGTATGTGTGCGTGTGTATATATATGTGTATGTATGTGTGTGTATATATATGTATGTGTGTATGTGTGTGTGTATATATGTATGTGTGCGTGTGTATATATATGTGTGTGTGTGTATGTGTGTGTGTATATATGTATGTGTGTGTGTATATGTGTGTGTATACATATGTGTGTGTGTATATATGTATGTGTGCGTGTGTATATATATATGTGTGTGTGTGTGTGTGTATATATGTATGTGTGTATGTGTGTGTGTATATATATTTACTTTAGAGACTGGGTCTTGCTCTGTTTCCCAGGCTGTAGTGCAGTCGTGCCATCATAGCTAACTGTAGCCTTAACTTCTCGGGCTCAGGTAATCTTCCCACTTTAGCCTCCCAGGTAGCTGGGACTATAGGTGTGTGTCACCATGCCCGGCTAATTTTTTATTTTTATTTTTGGTAGAGGTGGGGTTTTGCCAGGTTGTCCAGGCTGGTCTCAAACTCCTGGGCTCAAGTGATCCTCCCATTTTGGCCTCTCGGAGGGCTGGCATTACAGGTGTGAGCCACTGCACCCAGCCACAATTTCCGTTGTTTTTGAGATGAAGTCTCGCTCCTGTTGCGTAGGCTGGAGTGCAATGGCAAAATCTCAGCTCGCTGCAACTTACAGCTCTCGGGTTCAAGCCATTCTCCTTCCTTAGCCTCCCGAGTAGCTAGGATTACAGGCGCGTGCCACCACACCAGGCTAATTTTTGTATTTTTAGTAGATAGAGGGTTTTGCCATGTTAGCCAAGCTGGTCTCGAACTTCTGACCTCAGGTGATCCACCCGCCTTGGCATCCCAAAGTGCTAGGATTACAGGCGTGAATTGCTGCGCCTGGCCGATGATTTCCTTTTAACATGAATTCAGGGAGGGCAGGAGGCAAGCCTGTCCCAGCGCTCTCCTGCCTGATTGTCAGGGACACCACAGAAGGAAACCCCCACTCCTTGGGCTGACCCTGAGATGTTCCTCATGACAACGTGGTCCCCTCTTATCTCTGTTCTGGGTGCTCAGTGTCATCCTGGAAGGACTTGGAAGAGATGACAGTCGCAGGCCCTGGCTTCTCCGCCCACCAGCCTGGGGACCTGGGCAAGTCTGGGAGCTCAGTGTCCTCATCTATAAATGGGGTCATGACAGGAGTGCCAGGAGAATGCAACGCCTCACCAGTGTTTCTTCTTAAGACTTTTAAGTGCCGGGCACGGTGGCTCACACCTGTAATCCCATCACTTTGGGAGGCCGAGGTGGGTGGATCATGAGGTCAGGAGTACAAGACCAGCCTGGCCAATGTGGTGAAACCTGATCTCTACTAAAAATACCAAAATTAGCTGGGCATGGTGGTGCCTTCCTGTGATCCCAGCTAGCTGGGAGGCTGAGGCAGGAGAATTGCTTGAACCTGGACCTAAGAGGTGGAGATTGCAGTGAGCGGAGATTGCACCACTGCACTCCAGCCTGGGCTACAGAGCGAGACTCTGTCTCAAAAAAAAAAGACTTCCAGGCCAGTTGAGGTGGCTCACACCTGTAATCCTAGCACTTTGGGAAGCCAAGGCAGCTAGATCACTAAGTCAGGAGCCCAAGACCAGCCTGGCCAAGATGGTGGAACCCCATCTCTACTAAAAACACAAAAAATTAGCTGGGTGTGGTAATGGGCAACTGTGATTACAGCTACTCGGGAGGCAGAGGCAGAGAATTGCTTGAACTTGCAGGTGGAGGTTGCAGTGAACCAAGATTGTGCCACTGCACTCCAGCCTGGGCAAAAGAGGGAGACTCCATCTCAAAAAAAAAAAAGACTTAGAAGTAACTGAAATTAACATGGGCACAGCAGCCTCAGGTCACTTTCAAGGCAGTGCAATCAAAGGCTTGCCTCCAGCTAAGGTGGCACCTCAGCCTCTGACCCTGGGGGCCTCCTGGTCTGCGCTGCAGCTGGCTTTGGCCTGGCTGACTGGTACTCAAGTTCTATCTGCAGAGGGACAAACCCCATGGGCAGTAGACTCCTAAAACAGTTATTTTGTGATGGTCATTTCAGTGTGGAGCTGAAGCAGGAGCGGCTGCAAGAAACAGACCTCTCCAGCATCGAACTGGGAAGGAAGGGGTGCTTTATTTGGCCGGGAGCAAGGTGGCATAGCTGCCTAACAGCCAAGCTAGTCTATCAAAGGAAACCTCTGCCTTATACAGGCTCACGACTCTAGACATTACATGTGAAAGGGCCTTGGGTTTACAGTTTTAGAAAGTACATGTGAGGGGGTCCTGATCCTTGAAGTACCCGTGGGGGTTTGACGAGATTGAATGGGAGCAATAGAGGGCGTTTCTCCGTATCTCCCCCACCCTTCAGGCCGCCTGAGATTTTAATGATCTTTAACCTCCAGGCCACTGACCTCATGCTTGCTATGTCTCAACTTTTACTTTCTCCTTTGAGACAAGAGATGGGAAAGAGGGGTTTCTGTCCTCAGAGCAAGTCCTCAGAAGCCTACTATTTGAGTTAGGCAGTCAACCCTGGCTTGTGTCTTCTTTTTGAAATAAAGACTTTGTTTTAACTGGGCCTTAGGATGGCCCTATTCCATGTTCTGGTAAAGGCAAAAATGCAGGCCAGGAGCCAGACTTCCAACAAGGGAAAGAGTGGATCCTACACACTGCAGACAAAAAGCCCCTTTTTTTTTAGATGGAAGCTCGCTCTTGTTGCCCAGGCTGGAGTGCAGTAGCGAGATCTCCGCCCACCCAAACCTCTGCCTCCCGGGTTCAAGTGATTCTCTTGCCTCAGCCTCCCAAGTAGCTGGGATTATAGGCGTGTGCCACCACACCTGGCTAATTTTGTATTTTTAGTAGAGACGGGGTTTCTCCATGGTCTTGAACTCCCGACCTCAGGTGATCCACCTGCCTCAGCCTCCCAAAGTGCTGGGAGTACAGGCCACTGTGCCCGGCCGTGTTGAGGCCTTTTGAAAGGTATCACAGATCCACGGAAGAGGCCATGGGCGTTGGTGATTCACTGATTTAAGGGCCAGCAGAGAGGAATTTTGGGTGTGAAGGTTCCAATCTCGCAAATCTGAAATGCATTCTCCTCTGGGGTAGGGCAGGGAAGGCCCACCAGGGAGTACAAACCAGCCCTTGGGGGACAGTCATGAGTCAGAAGCACAGCATTTGCCATCAGCTGAGAAATTTAGAAAAGCTGCTGCTGAAATTCAGGACCTACTCTGAGGTTGGTGGGGTCTGGCTTTGCCTGGTCGCCAGCAGGGAACATTGGAACAGGAGCCATGGACCGCCAATGATCTCAGTGTGACCTTAAGTCTCTGCTTTTCAGTAAAAGGGACAATTCACTGAGCACCTCCTTGTGCTGGGCGTCGTCCTGAAGCAGGAGCAGCCTTGGGAAACGGACTTTTTGAACACCGAACTGGGAAGAAAGGGGTGATTTATTTGGCCGGGAGCAAGGTGGCATAGCTGCCTAACAGCCGCTCATCTAACAAAGGAAATCTCTGCCTTTATAAAGGCTCACAACTCTAGATATTACACGGGAAAGTGTCTTGGGTATACGGCTCTAGGATTTATATGTGAAAGGGTCTTGGGCCCTGGAGTAGGGTGGGGTACAGTGATTTAGGTGGCGGTTTGATTGTGTTTAAGTTAAAACAATGCCTTCCAGAAAGATTCCTCCACACCAAGCCTGCGATCTATAGGAGGGTGATGAAAGGTGGCACCTGGTCTGCCAGCCTTTACTTCCCCTATTGAAATGCAATGTGGAAGTCAAGGGGGAGGCGGCCTTAAATGCTTAAGGGCGATTAAGGGTCTCCTTCCTCACTCCTACTGTTTTCTCCAGGTCTCCCTCTCCCTCGTCACATGGCACATAAGCTGTGATTTATCCTGAGTTTAGAGTTCAGGATCCTGTGGTTGATCAGTGTGGAGCTGGGTTTTCAGCCCGGGGCTCTCAAGACTCTCTCATGGCTTTTAGTGCAAAGTCCAAATTCCTAAGGTGCCTCCAGGACCCCTGATGATCCCTGTACCTTCATCTTGGGCCCCTGTCCCTTGCCCTCTGTCCTCCAGCGTGCCTGTTTTCTGTTCTTCACATATGCCCTGCTTCTTCCAGCCCCAGGGCCTTTGCACATGCTGTCCCTTCTGCCTTGAATGTTGTTGCTCCAGCCCTTCCTTCATCTGGTTAATGTCAATACATCTTTCAAGTCTTAGATTATTTGTTTTATTTTTTTTTGAGACAGAGTCTGGTTCTGTTGGCCAAGGCTGGAGTGCAGCCTTGAGATCATGACTCACTGCGGCCTCAACCTCCTGGGCTCAAGCGATCCTCCTGCCTTAGCCCCCACCCAAGTAGCTGGGACCACAGGTGTGCACTACCACACACAGCTAATTTTTTGTCGAGATAGGGTTTCATCATATTGCCCAGGCTGGCTTGAACTTCTGAGCTCAAGTGATCCACCTGCCTTGGCCTCTGAAAGTGCTGGGATTACAGGCATGAGCCACCGTACCTGGCTTGTTTTAGAGATGGGGTCCTACTATGTTGCCCAGGTTGGTCTCAAACTCCTGGGCTCAAGAGATCCTCCTACCTTGGCTTCCCAAAGTTCTGTGATTATGGGCATGAGCCACCACACCTGGCTTTAGAGGTGATAGTCTTGCTATGCTGCCCAGGCTGGTCTCGAACTCCTGGGCTCAAGCAATTCTCCTGCCTTGGCCTCCCAAAGTGCTGGGATTACTGGTGTGAGCCATCTCACCCCGCCCTAAGCCTCAGCTTTCATGTCACTGCCTCAGAGAAGCCTTCTCAGACCCTCAGACTGGGTCAGGTCCCATGTAAACATTCTCAAGGCCAGCCCTGTCTTTTCCTTACCAGGTGAGACCCCCTGGCCTTCCCTGGTTCATAGGCAACTCCCCCATCAGACTGTGAGCTTCATAAAAGCAGGGATAGGGGAGCCTTTTCACAGTGAGCTTCCAGCCCCTGGCTCAGGATAGGAGTCGTAGATGGTGGTTGGATGGGCGTGTGTGTAACTGCACCTCAGTCCTGCCGCTGTGAACTCTGGCCATGGACAAAACACAGCTCCAGGTGACCGGGCCATTCATCTTGTAGCAGGAGCGGCCACGGGAAATGGATCTCTCGGACACCGAATACAGGAAGAAGAAGTTTATTCTGCCGGGAGCAAGGTGGCATAGTTGCCTAACAGCCAAGCTCGCCTAACAAAGCAAGGTTCCTTCTTTATATAGGCTTATACTTTAGATGTTACACATGGAAGAATCTTAGGTTTATAGCTTAATATATGAAAAGGGTCTCGGTTTACAGTCTCAGGAATTACATATGAAAGGGTTTCAGTTTACAGTCTCAGGAATTACATATGAAAAGGGCTTCGGTTTACAGTCTTAGGAATGAAAAGGGGAGGTTTACAGTCTTAGGAAAAAGGGGAGGTTGATCTGAGATGCCTGGTTCTTCCTCTTCAGTCTCATGAGGAGTGACTCTCAATTGGTGTATTTCAGGCCTTTGCCAACCCCGAGGACGCCCTGAGACATGGAGGCCTCCAGTATTGCCGGAGTGACCCCGACGTGGAGCGCTGCCTCAGGCAAGTACTTCGGGCCCCCGGCCTGGCCACACCTCAACTTGGCCTGCCCTTCCAGACTTTCTTCTGCACACAGGGTTGGGGGTTGGAGGATTCCCAGGGGCTGAGGTTTTCTGTGTCCCTGATCTGCTCTGTTTTACTTTATTCAGTGATTTAATTTCTAATAAACTTTATAAGATGTGGTCATGACTCACAATTACAAAGTGAGAAAGGTATCTTCAGTGACAATTCAGGCTCCCTCCTACCTCTGACCTCAAGGCACTACCCGGTTCTACCGTCCAGGGGCAAACCTTCCTGCCAGGGGCCATGCGTTTTCCCACAGAGACTCTACATTTACAAACATGTGTGCTGCGCTTTTCCTGCTCTGCCCTGTAGACTCACCCTTTATCCACTGGTCTGTACTGTGCTTTTTAAAAAATTATTATGAATATGACAACAGAGATTGTTCTATGTCAGCTCACAGGAGCTGCATTCACTGTATTGGTGCTCCAGCATTTATGCTGCACTCTGTTGAATGTATGGCCTGTAACTTCTCTAACCAATTCCCCTCCTATGGGCATTTGGGGTCTTTCTGTGTTATGAACAGAAGACCTCGAAACCTCTTTTTTTTTTTCCTTTTTTCTTTTTGAGACAGAGTCTTGCTCTGTTGCCAGGCTGGAGTGCAATGGCTCACTGCAATCTCTGCCTCCCGGGTTCAAGCGATTCTCCTGCCTCAGCCTCCCGAGTAGCTGGGACTACAGGCACGTGCCACCACCCCTTCCTAACGTGTGTATTTTTAGTAGATATGGGTTATACCATGTTGGCCAGACTGGTCTCAAACTCCTGACCTCAGGTGATCCATCCACCTCGGCCTTCCAGAGCGCTGGGATTACAGGCTTGAACCACTGCTCCTGGTCTTAACACCTCTTTCATTTGTCTTTGTGGTTGTGTGTGAGCAAAACCACAGGGTGTAACAAAATAATAAAATGTATATATATGCACACACACACATATATATATTTAATTAATTAACTGATTATTATTTTTTCTTATGCTTGCCTACAGAAAAATAATTTATTTATTGTTTGAGATGGGGTTTCACCATGTTGGCCAGGATGGTCTCCATCTCTTGACCTCGTGATCCACCTGCCTTGGCCTCCCAAAGTGCTGGGATTACAGGCGTGAGCCACCGCGCCCGGCCACCACTCACAGTTCTAGTCACGGTTCATGCTTGCTTCTCTCTCCTCTTTGTTTTCTGTATCTCAATATTTTTCATAAATTAGGCATGCATTAGGTACATCCAATTTGGAGTTCTGATTTTCTTTTAACATTATTTCACGAACACTTTCCGTGTTGGTAAATGTGACTCAAAAAATGGTTTTTGGCCAGGTGCGGTGGCAAATGCCTGTAATCCCAGACTTTGCGAGGCTGAGTTGGGTGGATCACTGAGGTCAGCAGTTCGAGACCAGCCTGAACAACATGGCAAAACCCCGTCTCTACTAAAAATACAAAATTTAGCCAGGCATGTGGCACACGCCTGCAGTCCCAGCTACTTGGGAGGCTGTGGCAGGAGAATCGCTTGAACCCGGGAGGTGGAGGTTGCAGTGAGCCCAGATCACACCACTGTACTGCAGCGTGGGGGATACAGTGAGACTCCATCTCAAAAAAAAAAAAAAATTTTCTTAAACTGGCTTTGTAAAAAAAAAAAATCCCATCAGAGACTAAATGTTACTTTCACATAATCACAGTCAATATTAAAATTTTTTAGCAGTTTCTGCTCTGCCATTTTTCACCAGTGAACTGAAGAGTGAGGCAGCGGCACTCCAGGGGTCGGGGGTCATCAGAGGAGCTTGAAGGGGAAGTGGGGAGGATGGGGAGCTGGACGGGCTGAGGCAGAAGACAAACCGTTGCACGGGTCTCAACACATTCCCCTGCATCACAGGCGGAAATGGGTGGAGCACTGTCATTTAAATAATACAAATGTCTTTCACTTGAAAGAAAGTCTGTGGGTTTTTTTCTTATGTTTTTATTGGCCATTGACAATAATATGCACACTTGTGGTTTTTAAAAAAATTACAGACATGTGTCATGTAGGAAGTGAAATGCCTTGCGATTTCACCCTTTCAGACCCTTCATATGAGATCTGTCTGTCCTTTAATGAGCGCCTATGTCCAAGACACTGTGCTAAGCACTAGATGTACTTGCATGAACTAAAGTCCTCTCCATACATGACTCCCATTGGTGACTCTTGTTCCTGCTTGTCTCATCTCTTGGAGAAGGACAGGATGAGCTGTCCAGGCAGCAAGGAGCCAGGACGGTGGGTCACCCGGGGCCAGCTCACAGCAGTCACCAACAAGGATGCGTTTTGGCTCGTCCAGACTGCAGAGGTTTTCTGTAGCCAAGCTTTCATGTGGCATAGGAGCGGTCAAGCGGCCTTACAGACCCTTGGTTTATTTTTACTGGCTGAAACCAGGCCAGGGAGAGACAATAGACCCGGGCGGTGCCAAGATATTTCCAACCAACCAATCATCCTTTTTCTTTTTTGGGACAGAGTTTCGCTCTCGTTGCCCAGGCTGGAGTGCAATGGCACGATCTCGGCTCACTGCAACTTCCTCCTCCCGGGTTTGAGCGATTCTCCTGCCTCAGCCTCCCAAGTAGCTGGGATTACAGGCGCCTGCCACCACGCCCAGCTAAATTTTGTATTTTTAGTAGAGACAGGGTTTCACCATCTTGGCCAGACTGGTCTTGAACTCCTGACCTCAGGTGCTCCACCTGCCTCGACCTTCCAAAGTGCTGGGATTACAGGTGTGAACCACTGCACCCAGCCCAAAATAACCCATCATCTGTAGTACTGGGGCTTAAATGGTTGAAATTCAACTCAGCACTTTCTGAGTGCCTTTTATCTAATAATACTTTATAGCCATTTGGTGCGGATTTATTGGAGGCCGGCAGTACCCTCGGCCCATGCCAGATCTGGGGAGTGCCTGGGTCCCCTGGGCTCCTCATCTGCCACCTGATTTCACAGAACATCACGGAAACTCGAGAGTGCAGAACTTAGAGAATTCTGTATCCCATGTCTGCTACCGGAGAACTGGCTGGAACCCGAATGAGAGACCACCTGGAAGCAAAAGTGGGTTAAATATTAGACCAGGGTTTATGGTGTGATTCGAGTCACCTTCTGTCAAACAGGAAAGCACTCAAGACTGGGTTCTTGGGCATAAATCTGCCTTGCAGGTTAGCACATGCTGGAGTCCAAATGTGAGCCCAGCTCTGGGAGAAGCGGGGGACCAGCCGCCTTTTCAGGGTCCCTCTCCAGAGTTCCTGGCACTGCGCGTTTTGGCCAAAATCTGAGGTTGTGTGTATGGAATGATATGGAGAGGGTTATCTTGTGGTCCCAAGGAAGGGAGGCAGACACGTGACCTAAGCTGGAGTATCTCTGTTAGGAATGTATAGACTTAAACTGAGTGAACTGGTTTGTCAGGAATTTAGGCCCCAAAATGTCAGCCCTAGAAGTCCCTTGGATGTCTTCCAGCATATTCACTTGTACACAGTGAACTGCAGGCCCAGAGAGTGAGAGAGATTTGCCTGAGGCCACGGGGCTAATTAGCACCACATCAGAACGGGAGGTTTCCAACCTAACACTCACTTCCCACCGCACCATGAAGTGCTTAAAAAAATTTTTTTTTGAGATGGAGTTTTGCTCTTGTTGCTCAGGCTGGAGTGCAATGGTGCGATCTTGGCTCACTGCAACCTCCACCTCCCGGGTTCGAGCAATTCTCTAGCCTCAGCCTCCTAAGGAGCTGGGATTACAGGTGCGTGCCACCACGCCTGGCTAATTTGTGTATTTTAGTTTCACCATGTTGGTCAGGCTGGCCTCGAACTCCTGACCTCAGGTGATCCACCTGCCGCAGCCTGCCAAAGTATTGGGATTACAGGCATGAGCCACTGCACCTGGCCTTTTTTATTTATTTGTTTATTTTTGAGACAGGATCTTGCTCTGTCGCCCAGGCTGGAGTGCAGTGGTGGAATCCCGGCTCACTGATGCCGTGACCCCGGCTCAAATGATCTCCTCACCTCAGTCTCCTGAGTAGCCGGGACCACAGGCACGTGCCACCATGACTGGCTAATTTTTAAATGTTTATTATCATAGAGATGAGATTTTGCTCTGTTGCTCAGGCTGATTCCAAACTCCAGGGCTCAAGTAATCCTTCCATCTCAGCCTGGGATTACAGGTGTGCACCATTACACGCAGCCCCAGAAAGTACTTTTTATTCATTTGGCCTGGGCATCCGAGGGCAGTCAGGAAGTCTGGCAGAGCCAAGAGGGTAAAGAGAGCTTTAGCGATGGTGTCCAGGACAGGGCTCGTGATGACAATGGAGGAGATGGTGGCTCAATTAAAATCTCCCTACTCAGCCGAGCATGGTGGCTCACGCCTGTAATCCCTGCACTTTGGGAGGCTGAGGTGGGCAGATCACTTGAGGTCAGGAGTTTGAGACCAGCCTGGCCAACATGGCAAAAACTCATCTCTACTAAAAATACAAAAATTAGCCGGATGTGATGGCGATTGCCGGTAATCCCAGCTCCTCGGGAGGCTGAGGGAGGAGAATCACTTGAACCTGGGAGGCGGAGGTTGCAGTGAGCCGAGACAGCACCATTGCACTTCAGCCTGGGCAACAAGAGCGAAACTCCATCTCTTGAACCCAGGAGGTGGAGGTTGCAGTGAGCTGAGATTGTACCGTTGTACTCTTGCCTGGGTGACAGAGATTCTGTCTCCAAAAAAAAACCAAAAACGATTTCCCTATTCAGTGTCCAGGAGTGTTGTAAGCGCTTTCCAGGGATCCACTCACTTGGCACTCTGAGAACGCTGGCACTCTTGGTCCTGCTCCTGACGCTGTCCCTCTCCGAGAAGGCGATGTCACTGTCTTGTATACTTGCCTTTGAAAAGAAGCAAGCACTGCATTGTGTCAACCTTGAGACACATTCAAGGAAATTGCCACTGTGGATGCTGGCAGGGCGCCGGGGAGAGAAGAGGAGACCGTTCGGAGCAGCTAGCGGCTGTCCCCGTCCTGGACGTCTGGGGGTCACTGTCCTCACCACTGTAACCTATGCAGTAAAATGCAGCTGGTGTGGAAGAGTCTGTAGGGTGAGGCAGGCCTGATGCTGCAGCAGACGCTACAAGTCCGGTCTAGTAGGAATCTGCTTTGGGTGGCTTTTACCTTAAAAAAAGTGGTTATTATTTGAATGATGCATTTCACCCAAGCATGTCTGTGGTACGTGCCTGCCTCCATGTCTCTCGGTTTGGAGCCTGGAGGTGGGAGGAGGAGCTTCCTTCCATCATTCCCGGTGTCTCCATTGCTCCCTGTCCCTGGCACCCCTGCGGCCTTGGAGGGGCCCCACTGTGGTTTGAGACAGACCAGACGAGGGAGGGAGGGCTGGGCCAGCCCCAGGGGTTCAGAGTCAGAGCTCCTGACCACCTCTCCTCCCACACTGGTGACCTCTGAGTCGCTGCCCAATGGCTGGAAATAGAAGGGGGAGCTCAGTCCCCACTACACGGTATCTGCGAGGCCTGCTCCTCTGCAGCTGGCGGAAGACATGCCCCGCAGAGCGGGACCCACGTCTGCCACGGACTTCCCCACTGCTTGTTCCTCCTTACCACCCTGTGTTCCCCAACGTTTTCCTTCACCCACTCTTCAGGGTTTGGCTGTGTCTGTGAACTGTGTGTCCTATGATTCTCTTAATAGCTTCCTAAACACTGACATCCTCTTAAAATATCAACACTTACTTTAAGGTATAGCTGGGGGAATGGGTTGCATACGCTATTTGTGCTTTTCCTGAAACTTTCAAGTAAACATTACAAAATTTCTCATCCAGGTGGCACTCTCTTGTGAATCACTGTGACAGGCAGACCTCATTTTGGGACATAATCAAAAATGGGTTTTCCAAAGGCGTCCCTCTAATCAGCATGTAGGGGGATGTGGGTACCCACAGCTTCAGTTCCAGAGGATGGAGTGATTTTTTTTTTTAGACAGAGACTCACTCACTCTCTTGCTCAGGCTAGAGTACAGTGGCATGGTCTTGACTCACTGCAACTTCCACCTCCTGGGTTCAAGTGATTCCCTGCCTCAGCCTCCCGAATAGCTGGGATTACAAGCACACGCTACCACGTCCGGCTAATTTTTTTTCTGTACTTTTAAGTAGAGATGGGGTTTAGCCATGTTGGTTAGCTTGGTCTCAAACTCCTGGCCTCAAGTGATCTATCCGCCTTGGCCTCCCAAAGTGATGGGATTATAGGCGTGAGCCACCATACCTGGCCAAGGATAGGGTGATTTTGGAGGAACACTTAAGTGTTTTTCCTCATGAGTCCTGGTAAGGGACTTACTTGACTGAGAGGTGGCCCCAGCCTTTGGTTTCTCCTTCTCTTTTTGTTTTTTTGAGAGGGAGTTTCTCTTTCTTTTCTTTTCTTTTTTTTTTTTTTAATTTGAAACGAAGTCTCACTTTGTCACCCAGGCTGGAGTGCAGTGGCACGATCTTGGCTCACTGAAACTCCACCTCCCGTGTTCAAGCGATTCTCCTGCCTCAGCCTCCCAAGTAGCTGGGAATACAGGTGCATGCCACCACACCCTGCCATTTTTTTTTTTTTTTTTTTAAAGTAGAGATGGGATTTCACCATGTTGGCCAGGCTGGTCTCAAACTCCTGACCTTATGATCCACCTGCCACGGCCTCCTAAAGTGCTGGGATTACAGGCATGAGTCACCACACCCCACACCTGGCCCAGAGGGAGTTTCACTCTTGTTGCCCAGGCTGGAGTGCAATGGTATGATCTCGACTCACCACAACCTCCACCTCTCAGGTTCAAGCAGTTCTCCTGCCTCAGCCTCCTAAGTAGCTAGGACTACAGGCATGCACGACCACACCCAGCTAATTTTGTATTTTTAGTAGAGACAGGGTTTTTTTATGTTGGCCAGGCTGGTCTTGAACCCTTAATCTCAGGTGATCCATTCAGCTTGGCTTTCCAAAGTGCTGGGATTACAGGCGTGAGCCACCATACCCAGCCCCTCCCTCTCTTTTCTTCCCTGAGGGCAGTACTGCAGGATCTACCCAGAGCCAGCCTCTCTCTGATGTAGGCAGCCATGGTGTTCCCTACCCCTGGGTGACCTGGCCTGCCCTGCCCTGTGTGACCTGTCCTGCCACAGACTTGCTTTTCTTGTTTCTGGGTTGCAAGGTCAGGATCTGACAGAAAAGGAGAAGAGAGGTTCGTGTCAGTCTTAGGATACGGGGACCCTTATGCCAGGTGCTGTGCCCTGAGTTTGGCCTGAGAAAGACCGAGGCCCTGCTGGGTTTACAGGAGTTTTGTAGACTCGGATTGAATTACTCCTCCGCTCTCATTCTGCCTCTCTCTCTCGTGCACTGCATTGCAGCCATGGGCTCACTTACCTGCACGTTGAACATGCTGTGCTTGCTCCGACCTCAGGACCTTTGCATGCACCAGTCTTCCTCCCTGGAAAGCATTTTCCCTGCCCATCCCCGCCCCAGGCACACTGCAGAGCCCCCTACAGTGCTGGGTGAACAAGCACTCCAGGCCCCCTCTCTGCCCACTCTGTGCCCTGCCCACTTTCTTCTGGTCAGGCCCGCACACGGTTGCCCTGGTCCAAGACTTGTCTTACCAGTGGGAAGGAAGAGGAGAACCGAGCAGTGGGTCCCCACATGGGTGCTGCTAGTCTGGGCCTGACCGGAGGACAGGTGAAATGTTATTGGTGAAATGCATTTCAGCAGGAAGGCCTGGAGAACCTGCTTCTGTTCCTGCACCTCACACTTGGGGCCTGTCCCTGGGGGAGGCCATGCCCTGGGCACCGAGTTCCTGTTTATTTGCACTTCCCATGTGGCAATCGATGGCTTTAGTTGCTCATTCAGTCTCTAATTTATGGGACTCAACCTCCCCACCTGTCATAAAGGAAGCCAACCATTAGTGGGAGTCATAGAAAATGTGAAGCAACTCTCAGCAGAAGTGGGTGTTTTCCTGTGGGTCATTTATTTATGGTGGGGTTAGACAGAGCCCTACCCCCCACACCCGCCACACATACGCACATGCTTGGTTACTTTCAACAAAGAAAGAGGCAGGACAGCACGTCTAAAACGAAGAGCTTCACCAGGGGCTGGCCGGCAGGTGGCTCCAGTGAGTGGAAGCGGATCTTGTGATGACTCCCTGAAAAGGACGGGTGGAACTTACATTTAGGGGCAGGAAACGGCCCAGCATTCGTGTCAGACGCCTGCTCTTGGGCTCTAGCTTCTACTCAGGAGGGGCCCAGGAACCTGCATTCAGAAAGGAGGGTGAGGCCCGGCACCGTGGCTCACGCCTGTAACCCCAGCACTTTGGGAGGCCAAGGCAGGCAGATCACCTGAGGTGGAGAGTTCGAGACCAGCCTCACCAACATGGAGAGGTGAATACTAATTAGCCGGGTGTAGTGGCACATGCTTGTAATTTCGGCTATTTGGAAGGCTGAGGCAGGAGAATTGCTTGAACCTGGGAGGTGGAGGCTGCAGTGAGCCGAGATCACTCCATTTGCACTCCAGCCTGGGCAACAAAAATGAAATTCCGTCTCAAAAAAAAAAAAAAAAAAAAAGGAGGGTGACCTCAGGCCTGACTCAGAGAAGCCCTGCCCTGGCGGTAAAGGGCACAAAGTCGAGTCAGAACTTGGTTCAAGTCCCAGCTCCTCCACTCACTGCTCTGTAAAGCACTTAGCACCTCTGAGCCCCACTTTTCCTACCTGGTGTCCAAGGACTAGAGAGGAAGATGGAGGGGAGAGTGCGGCAGGAGTGGGGTCCTGGCAAGCCAGGGTAAGGGCCGTGGTGAGAGCATCGGAGGCCAGCAGCTCTCTGTGACTCCCGGCCCATGCCGGGGCCTCTGTCTCAGCTGCTTACAAGCATAAGCCTGGAGCTGCTCTTCTGGACGCTGGGGTCAGCATCTCCTTGACCTGGTGATGAATGGATTTGAGAGTCTGGGATGCTTGAAGTGACCCCCAGTGGGTCAAGGCCTTGTTAGGGCAGAGTGCTCAGCTTCCACGACACTCTCAGAAGGGCCCATGTCCCCAAAGCTAACGCCTAGCTAACCACACCCCTGTTGTCTCCCCAGGGCCCACCGGAACGACATGGAGACCATCTACCCCTTCCTTTTCCTGGGCTTCGTCTACACCTTTCTGGGTCCTAACCCTTTTGTCGCCTGGATGCACTTCCTGGTCTTCCTCCTGGGCCGCGTGGTGCACACTGTGGCCTACCTGGGAAAGCTTCGGGCACCCATCCGCTCCGTGACCTACACCCTGGCCCAGCTCCCCTGTGCCTCCATGGCTCTGCAGATCCTCTGGGAAGCGGCCCACCACCTGTGACCAGCAGCAGACGCCTCCTTGGTCACTAGACCATAGGCCAAGAGCCACCGTGGCTGTACCTGGGGACTTGATGTTCCTTCCAGATTGTGGTGGGCCCTGAGTCCTGGTTTCCTGGCAGCCTGCTGCATGTTGGGGGGGTCTCTGGGCCCAGTGGGCCTGTGTGTGAGTGCGTGCATGTGTGTGTGTGTGTGTGTGTGTGTGTGTGTGTGTGTGTGTGTTTCTTAGCCCCTTGGATTCCTGAATGAAGTGGTTGATGGAAACCATTTCAGGACAGATTGTGAAGACTGATAGAAAATCCTTCAGCTAAAATAACAGAGCATCAAAAACATCACTCCCTCACTCTCCCTAAGAGTGAAAAGCGTGAAGAGAGACTCTATTTAAAATTCCCAAATCAAATGATCATCTGAATCCTGGGCTAAGAATGCAGACTTTTCAGACTTACCCCAGAGATTCTGGCCCAGCCAATCTGGATTTTTTTTCCCTCAGGATGGAGTCTTGTTCTTTTGTCCAGGCTGGAGTGAAATGGTGCAATCTTGGTTCACTGCAGCCTGCACCTCCTGGGTTCAAGTGATCCTCCCACCTCAGCCTCCTGAGTAGCTGGGATTACAGGCGGGTGCTACCAAGCCTGGCTAATTTTTGCATTTTTAGTAGAGATGGGGTTTCGCCATGTTGGCCAGGTTGGTCTCAAACTCCTGGCCTCAAGTGATCCACCAGCCTTGGCCTCCCAAAGTGCTGGGATTACAGGTGTGAGCCACCACGCCGGGCCACCATCTGGAGTTTCAAGAGGCTTCCATGTGAGTCTCTGTGATGGCTGGGCCAGGAAGCCCCTGCCAGTTCTCTGTGGAAGCAAGGCTGGGGTCTTGGGGTCCTGCATGGTGGAAGCTGAGTGAGCCAAGGGCAGGGCTGGATCCTCCACCCTCTCTGACGCTTCCCTTGGCGTTGGCCTTGGCCTTGGCTTTGGGTGTCTTTGATAGCTGGAGTCTTCTCTCTGGCTCAGGGGTGCGTGGGAGGGGCCACAGGAAGCTTAGCCATCTCCCAAGGCTTGAGTCCCTCCAAAGTGCTGTGGGTGGAGGACAGGGAGCTTTGGGTGACAAGCCACTCAAAGGAATTTTCTGGTCCCTTCAGTATCTTCAAGGTTTGGAAACTGCAGATGTCCTCTCAATGGAGAATCCGTGTGTGTGTGTGTGTGTGTGTGTACATGTGTTGTGTTGTGTGTGTGTGGTTTCTCCTAGATCCCTGAACTCAGATGTGTGGTTTTTGTTCATTAAATGGAAGTGTCTGTCTAGCTTGGCCCAGCACCTCATCTTGGGTTCCTGGTATCTGTCCCCTGCTGCCCGAGCTGGCCTGATGCTCCAGTGTGCTGGGTGTTCTTGCCGGTGACTGCCTTGGGCCAGTCTGGGGCAGACACAAACACCCCTTACTGGGTGTCAATCACACGGCAAGCAGCAGTCTCCTGCCTCCCGGGGGGCGGGTAAGGTGGCATCTGGCGAGGGGAGCCGGGAGCACCCGAATCCTGCCCTGGCCAGGTCGCCCCTCCCTGCAGGGCTGCTCGGCCCGCGGGTGGCCACCATCAGCTCCTTCCGAGGCTCCGGGACCAGCACCCCGAAGGGCAGGGCCAGGCTCCCAAAGCCCCTGTGTGGAGCCCCTGGGCTGCACGGCCTCACTTTCTCTCCCTGCACCCCGAGGCCGGCGCCCTTTGACTGAGGGGACCGCCTGTGCCGCGGGTTCTCGGGCAGCGCCGGGACCCCAGGCCCCGCCTGAGCGCGCCGCGAGGTCCCGGCTCCCGCTCGGGGCTGAGTGGGGAAACACTGCCTCCTGGTGGTAAGGGGGCGCCTCTGTTTTGGGCCGCAGCAGCCAGCGGGAGAGAAACCAGAAGGGTGCGGTCCAGTATTGAGCGCCTACTGTTTGCTAAGCGTTGGGCTAGGCATGCTGGTTGGATTATTTTCACCTGATCCTTAAAACAGGCTGGGTGGGTTGGCTTCCGTCTGTAATTCAAGGCGCTCTGGGAGGCCGAGGTGGGAAGATCTGAGCCTAGGGCAGGTTTGAGACTAGCAGATCCCCTTTCTACAAAAAAAAAAAAGAATTAGCCTGGTGTAATGGTGTCCGCCTGTGGTCCCGGTTACTCGGGAGGCTGAGGCGGGAGGCTCACTAGAGCCTGGAGGTTGAGGCTGAAATGAGCCGAGATCACACCACTGTACTCCAGCTTGGGCAACAGAGGGAGACCATCTCAAAACAAAACAAAAATTCCCTAAAAATTCACTGAGCTCCTGACAGCAGCCTAGACACACCATTCTGGGTACCCTAAAACAATCTGAGGGGGAGGCATTTCTGCTTTTTAGATGAGGGAGGCGAGGCTCACAGGAAGGAGGCTGGTGCGGGGAGTCTCCTCACAGGAGAGCGGTGGGTGACTTGCTCACTGTCCCTGGGCTGGGACACTGTAAGGCCAGAGGGAGGGCAGACCCCAGGGCAGCGGCCATCCAGGGGATGAATCCAAGGTGCATTTTTATATTTATATTTTCCTTCCTGGGGAAAGAGGGTTCTGTGGGCTAAATACCCCCTGGGAACCCACCGGACCCGGGTGAGCAGGGGCATCGGGCGCCCATGGCAATGGGGCGTGAACCTAGAGCTTGGGTGATGGAGGTGGCCCTTGACGCGCTGGAGCCCAGAGACCATGGGACCACAAGGTCCTCTCCTTGTCACCGCCCCTATTCTGCTGGCTTGCGAATGCCTCCTTAGGGTGGGGTGGTGCCCGACGCTGGGGTGGTAACCTCGTCCTGCCCTCTGGCCCCCCCACAGCTCCGGCCTGGGGTGGGCAGCTCGGCAGGACAGCTTTGGCTACAACTCCAAGCGCTCAGCGCCCCATGGAGGCAGATGAGGGCTGTCTAACCCCTGCTGCGTGCGTGCGTGCGCAGAGGCTGCCTGGGAAGGTGGCTCCTCACCTGCGGAGGGGGGTGAAAGACCGCTTTTGAGGGGAACTTCCAAGCCAAGAAAGCGAGGAGCAAAGAGTAGAGCTCAGCATCATCCCCCAGATCCCTCCGTCCTGGGGCTGGGAAGTGGAGGGGCGGTGGGGAGAGTGGGGGAGGGGAGTGTGAGGGATGAAGGTGTGGAGGGGAGATGGGAGGAGTGTGGGGGTAGGGAGAGGGAGTGGGGGTGGGGGAGGTATGGGGTATGAAAGGGAGGCAGGGGGTGTGGGGAAGGGGTGGATATGGAGGGGGGTAGGGGTGGAGTGGGTGTTGGTGGGGTGGGTGTTGGGGGTGGGTGTGGGGAGTGGTGGATATGGAAGGAAAGCTTGGGATGGGGTGGGATGGGGTGGGTTGGAGATGGGTGGGGGAGCGGTGAGGTATGGAAAGGAGGCTTGGGGTGGGGTGGGGATCGGTGGGGACTGAAGGGAGGTGGCGGTGGGGGCAGGTGGCATAGAAAGGAGATGTAGGTGTGGGAGGGGTAAAGGGATCAGCAGTGTGGTGTCACTGGAGCCTCTGGCCTTTATCAGGGAGTTTGGGGCTGTGGGTCATGCCAGGGTGGGCTTGGCATGGCTGGCTTTGTTTCCTAAGGGACCTCTGGCTTTGCCATAGGGAGGATAGGGAGGGGTGGACAGCTGGGCAGTGGACACAGTGGGCAGTGGTGTGACCCTTGCTTTTCCAGTTGCTCAGACAGTGCCCTGGCTGCTCACCCAGGAGCTGGACGCAGGTGCGGCCGAGGGAGGGGAGGGTCAGTACCCAGGACGTGTGCTGGCTGCTGTCAGGAGCCCAGTGAATTTTTTAAGGGAGAGGAGACCCTGGAGGGCTGTGCTGCTCCTACCCAAGATCAGACCCCACCCTCAGGAAGGGGAAGGCCAGGGAGATGCCTCCTGGCACACAGCCAGGGCCCCAGAGAGCCAGCGCCAGCCTCCCGGCAGCAGCAGAACACAGTGGGCCAGCGAGGCAGGGAGGGCATCTCATGGTTTTCTGTACTCTTTTCTTTTTCAAGAGTTGCGCGGGGCCGGGCATAGTGGCTCACGCCTGTAATCCAAGCACTTTGGAGGCCAAGTTGGGCAGATCACCTGTGGTCAGGAGTTCAAGACCAGCCTGACCAACATAGTGAAACCTTGTCTTTAAAAAAAAAAAAAAAAAAAAAGAGTTGCGCGGGGGTCTCGCTCTACCTAAGTCGGAGAGCAGAGGCGCAATTGTGCCTCACTGCAGCCTTGAATTCCCAGGCTCAGGCAATCCTTCCACCTCAGCCTCCGGAGTAGCCGGGACCACAGGTTTGTGTGCCATTCGTGGCTAAAGCACCTTAGGGTGGATCGCATCTTCTGACCTGCCCAGAGGCAGTGCGAATAGGCACCAAGTGCAAGATGACCTCGGGTGCCCATCTTCCTCCCGAACCTGCCCAGACTTAGATCCTTTTAGAGGAGACCCCTGGAGGCTGTCTCCTCTCTCCTGACCCTGGAGCTGGGGGCACTGGGAAGGGTGGGCCTTGGCTGTCTATGCTCTAGGGGGCAGAGAGCATTGAGCAGAAACTCGGGGTGTGGGTGCAGAGCCTCAGTTCAGGGAGGCAGGTGAGGATTTTCCTCCTGAGTGCAGTGGATGGGGCCCGGGTCCAGGCCTGGGAAGCTGAAGCTGCTCTGGCTGGGGCCCACTGTGTGGGGCATCTTCTCCCGAACTCTGAGAGGGCAGGGGTGCCAGAGCCGAGGGGGATTCACGTAGACCCAAGGCCCAGGAAGCAGAAAAGCAATCTGATATGCCAATGAGATCTTATGTTACAGAAGCCTTCATTCCTGCCCGGGCATGGTGGCTCACACCTGTAATCCCAGCACTTTGAGAGGCCGAGGTGGGCGCATCATGAGGTCAGGAGTTCAAGACCAGCCTGATCAACATGGTGAAACCCCATCTCTACTAAAAATACAAAGTATCAGCCAAGCATGGTGGTGCGTGCCTGTAATCCCAGCTATTCGGGAGGCTGAGGCAGGAGAATCGCTTGAACCCGGGAGGCGGAGGTTGCTGTGAGCCAAGATCACTCCAGGGCACTCCAGCCTGGGTGAGACTCTGTCTCAAAAAAAAAAAAAAAAAAAAAAAAAAAGGAGATTTCATTCCCACCCCACATGCCTTCTTAGGAGGAAGCCCAAGGCAGGTGATGGCGGTGGTGCCCTGGTGCGTGAGGACCTTGGGAGTAAGGGTAAGAGCAGGCAATGATGATGGTGGACAGAGGGGCCTGTTGGATGCTGGTCTGGAAGGCAGGGACAGAACCGGGGGACCCCCGGGGAGGCAGAGCCCACAGGATTGAGGGGAGGCCTGGGCCTCTGTGTGTGCTTCCCGGTAGGATGCTGCCGTGGGGAGCAGGCTTCCAGGCAGGCTAGGCTAGAAGGTTGGACTGTTTCTAATTCAAGGCAGTTCAAAGAGGGTATTATTTGTTGGGGCTGGTGAGAATCCAGGCAGGCTTCCCAGAAGAGGCATTGCTTGAATTGGAACGATGGGGTATTTAAAACTTGCTTACATTTTTAGGCTGGGTGCGGTGGCTGACTCCTGTAAATCAATCCCAGCCCTCTGGGAGTCCCAGGCAGGCAGATCATTTGAGGTCAGAAGTTCGAGACCAGCCTGGCCAACATGGTGAAACCCCATCTCTACTGAAAATATAAAAATTAGCTGGGTGTGGTGGCAGGTGCCTTTCATCCCAGCTACTCAGGAGGCTGAGGCAGGAGAATCGCTTGAACCCGGGAATTGGAGGTTGAAGTGAGCCAAGATGGCACCACTGCACTCCAGCCTGGGCGACAGAGCAAAACCCTGTCTCAAAAACACAAGAAAGACTTGTTTAAGTTTCTAAACCTATTTCAGAAGTTTTGAAACATTTGTTTCAATTTTTTTTTCTTTATATGTACTTATAAGTAATGGCCAATGTCAAAGGTTTAGAAAGAATGGGAAAGCTCACAGAAGGAAATCAATCCCTCCAGGACTCTCACCACGCAGAGGCTGACCCAGGCCAGGCTCCGGACACTCTGGGACTCCTGTTCAAGCATCTTGTGATGAGGCCCTGGATAACTGCAGCACCTCCCGACCATGTCCCAAGTCCACCCTGAGCCCCCACAGCCACTCCCCACCCAGAGCCACAGGCTCCCATCACCCCGTGTGCAAAGCTGTCAGGTGGCTTTCACCCTGCTTGGAGGGAGGTCAGGTTCTCATGAGGAAGCAAGGTCCCTTGAGGTCATCCGTGGCAGAACCCCTTTACCTTCTGTCTGTCTGTTTGTCCTCTCTCTCTCTCTCTCTGTCTCTGAGATGGAGTCTTGCTCTGTTGCCAGGCTGGAGTGCAGTGGCG